CATATGAAAACATGGGTATAGTAACAAAATCGATTACCAGAAGAAATATATTAATTATTTTAATTAATATATGTATATATATCTTAATATACATATAAACTATGTTTATATATATATTCATGCTCTTTTTTATTTTATTTTTTTAATAGAGGCATGTTTTATTTATTTATTTATTTGTTTGTTGTGTTTATACATGCACTGGGTACAGTCAGAAGCGCAGGAGGGTGAGAGAATTCACCAGAGCCAGAGCAGGGAGCAGAGCAGGCAGAAGGACCAAAGTACACTGCTGAGGGGAGCAGCGGGCGGCAGGAGAGGTCTGCGCGCCATGTGGGATCCTCCTCCGGTGGCCGGGGAGCAGCCGGGGATTGAACCAGCGCCGCAGAGGCCGCAGGCAGCTTCGCAACCCAGCGCTCTACCGCTGCACCACCGGGGAGGCCAAAGATTTATTTATTTACACAAAAACTGGGATACAGGCCAGAGGTGCAGGAGGGTGAGATTCACCAGAGACAGAGCGGGGACCAGAACAGGCAGACAGACCAAAAACACTGCTGAGGGGAGCAGCGGGGGAGACAGGAGAGTTCTGCCACTCCTTGTGGGTAGCTCCCTGGCCAGCAGGGAATCAAACCCGTGCTGTAGAGGCTGTGGACAGCTCACAGCACTGCACTCAACCCGCTGCGCCACCGGTGAGGCCCCTTCATGCTCATTTTAATATTTTAGTGCAAGGTACTTGGCAGAAAACTCAGGCAGCAGTGCTTCTGTCTGCTTATTATTAAAAGCTATTTTCATTATTGAAGCATGATGAACTTTAGTGGAAATAAATGACCATAAATAATCCATGGATTTTTTTAAAATCATTTTTCAGAATCAGATACCAAGCATATATTTTCTCACTCGAGTGGACATCTTTTTAAAAGTCACTCCCCATATATTATTCAGATAAGGACATCTAACATAGAAATATAGGATGAATTTTTAGTAATATACTCTATTAGCATAAGATACTCTATATTTGAAATATATTGTGGGACTAAACCTAGAGATATCAGTATTAAATAATGTTTAACCTAATAGAAGCTATTATGAATATACACAGGTTAAAAGAATTACATTATTTCCTAGAGCAGTTCACTGACAAAAGGTTTAGGAGAAATAGAACACCATCAGCAAGGAATATACTCAGTGCCCAGATCTTGGTTTCTAAAATCATTCCCCAAGAAGTGGAGCCAGGGTCCTTGGAACTATTGTTGAGTCTAGGTCTACGGGGCCATGGGGGGCATATATAGTGCCAGAACATAAAGAAGTGTTCAGTAAAGAAACTGATGCAGTGTCAAAAAGACACATGCTCTCGTGAATGAACTGACAAAGATCATAGTATTGAATTATAACACAAACTAGAAAATAAATATCCATGAGTTCACACCAATAGATGTAAATTACTGAATGAGTGAATGAATGAATGCACAAATAAACAGATGAGGAAATGAATGAAATCTTTCTTGCAGAAGAATTCCAAATAAATGTAGCTATTTCCACTCAAGAAAGTGGGGATTAACTCTGCCCATGAGCATGGGCTATAGTTAGTGACCTGCTGCTAAAGACACAGTTTGGAAAGGAAGAACAGAATTGCTGGAGTTGTGACCCTGTGATATAAAGTAATGAGCATGACACCACCTTTCTGGTCTTCCTCCAAAACCTGGTCCAGTGGAAACACGTAGCCATTCCATCACCTCCAGTGTAACCATTAAGAAAATATCAGGCAAATTCCAATATCTGATAATCACTATTCAAAACTGTTAACATTGGGCCTCCCTGGTGGCTCAAGGGTTAAACAAAGCACTGTGAAGGTATCTGCACCTCTACAGAAAGAGTTTGATTCCTGGCTAGCCAGGGAGCTACCTACATGGTGCAGCAGACCTCCCTGTCTCACTGTAGGGTAAGTGAAAAAAGTATCAGGCTTTTCTGCACTCCCAACATTAGGATGGATGGATCCTTGTGGTCCTGAATGCACGCCTGATGGCGGGCACCTGGAGCAGGGTGTGGCATGTGTAAGTGGATACACCTGTGCTGAGAGACTGGGCTTGTAGGGGCAACATCATGGAGATGCCAACAGAACCACAAGTGGAGCAGAGACCAAAAGAGAGAATGAGAGGGAAAGAAAGGTGCAAAAGAGAAGCGGAGAGCCCAGGAAGGGTGAAGACTTGCCTCCCAGCCCCCTGGCACCTCTGCCTGCCGTGTACCTGGTAAATTCCAATGAAAGCCTGCAGAAGCCACTGCGGGCTCCAGCACTCTCTCCTCATTACCCTGTCTGCTCGAATCATACAGATCCTGCATTGTGCCCCTTCTTGCCCCTTCACCCACTGCTCCCCTCAGCACTGTTTCAGTCAATCTGCCTGCTCTGCTCCCCACTCTGTCTTTGGTGACTGCAGGGTAAGGAAAAATGTCAGGCTTTTCTGCCCTCCCACCATCAGGATAGATGATGGATCCTTGCGGTCCTGAATGCATGCCTGATGGCGGGCACCTGGAGTAGGGTGTGGGCCTAGGCAGATGGGATTCACCTGGGCTGAGACTGGGCTTTTTAAGGGCGGCGTCATGAGGATACCAACAGAAGCCGAAGTAGAAGCCGAAAGAGAAGCTGAGAAACAGCAGAACCAACGCCAGAGAGCCCAGATAGAGTGAAGACTTGCTGGGGGCTGGGAGGCCTGCCAGCCTCCCAGCCCCCCAGCCAGCACCCCTGCCTGCCATATGCCTGGTGACCCCCAATAAAAGACCTGCAAAACCAGTGAGGACTCTGACTCCTCCTTTACTCGGTCTGCATGGGATCAGAAAACCTGCTCAGTGGCCATTCCTGCCCTTACAATTGGCGTAAGTCGGCAAGATGATCCATGCAGATGGGTATGGAGCCCTCCGAAGACCTGGAGGGACTAAGGAGTAAAAGACTGCCTGTGACGACGCTGGGGGCGCCATGGCGATCCAGGAGGTGGATAAGGTCCAGAAGCTACGGGATAAGACCTCGCCTGTAGGAGGAGGAGGAGACACCTGAGAGAACCAGCCAACGACCCCTGAGGCAGCAGATCGTCGGGGAGGAGAGGACTACGATTTGGAGCTCGCCAGTGCTGATGCAGGGAGAGGCCAACGGACTTGGACTGATCGACATGGACTGATGAACTTGGACTGACAATCCCACCAGAAGGCGGAGGACCTTGCAGGTTGATATGTTTTGGGACCCTGGGGGTGGAACAGTTTCATTTGTAAACCCCAGGAGATGGGAATCTGGGGGTGGCCAGTAGTCCTTGATGGCCAAAAGCAGCCTGTGCATGCCCAGCAGCCAGGCGGAGGAGAAAAGCCAACTGAGAAGGCAAAAGCTGGTGCTGATGCTAAGTTGAGAAGCCCTGAGTGGCTGTTAAGCAGCCTGGTATGCTGAAGCCCTGTGAGTCTCGTAAAATCACCTGTGGGTGATGCCCTGCTCATTCCTGAGTGAGGGTGAGGAGCTGAGGAACCTGTCCTTGGGGGATGGGTGGGGAACGTGGCTTGGGGTGGAGCCCAAGCCGCATGTACAGTTTGGATCCCCGACCCATGTGCTTGTGCAGTGGGTTGGCCTGAGTGCAGGGGTCTGCGAGTCACATGGGTGGCTATGAAGGCCGAGTGTTGGAGCAACTGCAGACAGAAAGCCTGAGGGTTGGCGATTACCCCCAACAGAATAGAATCGCCAATCCCAGAGCGAGTGCATCCTGGGGGTGGATGCGGTGTGTGGCTTGTAGCCGAGACTACAGCCAGAGAAGGCCAGGAAGCCTGACGGCTGCTGGTGTGTTATAGTAGATGCGTGAGTGGTTCCCCTCCCTCGTATGAGCAGAGCCTTCAGCAGCAGGTTTGGTGGCTCATCTGCTGGTACAAATAATTGTCTTTTGCTCTAGGTTGGGGCCCTGCCTGGACTTATTTGTGTTCCATTGTATTTTGTTATATTGTGCTGTATTTCATTTACTTTTGTGGGCCATGGCTGCAGTGGTCATATGATTTGTATATAAAGACTGATCAAGACTATATGGCAGAAAACCCTGAGGGGGTGGACTGTAGGGTAAGGAGAGATATCAGGCTTTTCTGCCCTCCCATCATCAGGATAGATGATGGATCCTTGAGGTCCTGAATGCATGCCTGATGGCGGGCACCTGGAATAGGGTGTAGGCATGGGTAGATGGGATTCACCTGGGTTAAAACTGGGCTTTTAAGGGCAGCGTCACGGGGACGCCAGCAGAAGCCGAAGCAGAAGCTGAAAGAGAAGCCGAGAAGCAGCAGAACGAACGCCAGAGAGCCCAGATAGAGTGAAGACTTGCTGCCTGCCAGCCTCCCAGCCCCCCAGCCAGCACCCCTGCCTGCCATATGCCTGGTGAACCCCAATAAAAATCCTACAAAACCACTGAGGACTCTGACTCCTCCTTTACCCGGTCTGCATGGGATCAGAAAACCTGCACAGTGGCCATTCCTGCCCTTACAGTGTCTCTTCTCACCCCCCACACCTCTGGCCTGTACCCCAGTTCTTTAAAAAAAACAAGCCAAAAAAATTCTTAACATCATGAAAAACAAGGAAAATCTGGGAAAGTAACACTGTCTAGCAGAGGGATGAATATTACATTCAACAAGATATTCTCGCACAAATGGGCAGTAGGAGAAAAGTCATGAAATCAGAATAATGTATTAGTAATGGTTCTTTTGAGTTCATGTTTCACAAAGTGTCAGCTTAATGTAGTATAGACACAGGTTGATTTTAATGATGCACATCTGAAAATTATATAGTGTTTTAATTCAATGTTAGTTCAATAAAAATAATTAAAAATTTTATGACAAATGAACCATTGTAATGTAAAATGCTGCAACTAGGTAACACTGAATGTGGAATATATAAGAACTCTGAACTATCTTTGCAGCTTTTAAACAAATGAAATATTTTAGGATAAGTAAATATTAGAAAATAATGACTTTACATTTGTGTCTGTTTATCTTTTCAGCACTGTTTGGCTCTATTTGGGAATATAGTCCATTTGGAATTCAATAGCACTTTGGAATTTTAAAGCACGCCAGACTCTTTAAAGGTAAGTGGCATCTAAATATCACCAACACATTAGCTTTTCGTCTCTTAACACATACTTCAAAATTGAAAGTATTTATAAGCTTTTTTTTTCAATATTTACTTCACTAGGAAGCAGAATATTCAAATATGTATGTCTTTATAGTGGTTAGCGTAAACGTGAAAAAAAACATGAAACTTAACTATTACTTTTAGCAAAAGTTCTATGATTGTAAGCGTCTTTACTGCGCTTCTCTCATACTGTTTCAATTTACATGCAGATTTGAGAAGAGCAAGTGGCTATGTGCCTCCTAAAAAATAGAAATTGATTTTCTTCCTTTATATTCTTTTGATGACACTTTCCCTACTTCCTCATAATTAGTGGATATTACTCTTATTAAATTGGATATGTTTCATTTCAGAGGCAAACCTTAGATGAAGCTCTGACACAGGAAACAAAGAGACAATGTCACAAATGTTCCTGTCTTTATTAATATTAATATGGCAGAGTCTAGTTCAATTGTTTCTTGGGCAGGCAATTGTAGGCTATTTTCCCTCTGCTGGTGGCAGGAATCTAAACTCTGAAATTTAGACACTTACAGTTAACCTTCTGCAGACAATAATTAAAGCTGCCTCGACACTTCCTGCTTGGTAATTGTAGAGTCTATTCTTAGGCTGTAGTCAAAACAAGCTTCAGGTTCTCTGTTCTCAATCAGTGATCGATTAAGATTAGCCATTGATATAATAGCTCAGAAAGAAAAGGTTGAAGAGATAAGGCAAACATGTAATTAAACTAATGTGGCTTTCTGGATCTTGCTGTGATATTTGTTCAGACTCTGCTTGCTCATTTTTAATAAGTAGAATAGTTATTTTTTTGTTTAAACTTTTCTTTGCTGTATATATATATTTTTTTTTGAAAAACACACTGTTACTTTTTAATATAGTTAATTACATCATCAACTTCAAGTGGCCATTTTGAGTAAAAACTGGAAATTTTGGTAACTTTTATCAAGATTAATGTTTAAAATGAAACAATTTTGTTTCCAATAATACTGATTTTTAATTCTTGTTGTCATCCAGTTTATTCTTCAGTATTTTCTAATCAATATTCAAATTATCCATATAGAAATTTACTTCTACTTTGTAAAATCTTTGTATTTTTCAGAAAATTTGAATTTCATTTTAAAATTTCTGATCTTAAATAATTTTTGAGTGGTAGATTCATTGCAGATTTTATGCTAAAACAGATAGGGTAAGAGAAAATTTCAAATTTAATTCCTATCAGTTAATTCCAGCTTATACTTCTTACAAACCATGATTACATGAAACTAGATATTACTTGTGATGTAAATATGAGTAATAAAAAATTAACACCACACAATTCAAATGATTAATTAAGGATTTTGCTTCCATTTTTAAAGAATGATGAGAAATTAACTTTCCAAAGATTTAAATGAAAGAAAAAGGAGGCACACACTTCTCAGACTTCGTGTGATTCTTTCTGTGATATTACTGAAGATAGATATGTAGGAGTTTTACAATCATTTTACTTAAAATATTTTAAAGAAAATAATATGAGAAAGGATAAATAAAAAGAATGTAAAGTAGAACATGAGTTAGTTTTCAAGCAGAAGACTTCAAATTAATGCAAAAGAATTAAAAAGAATGACTTGAAACTGTTTTTCTTTTAATGTAAGGTGTTTTCATAAACTTCACTTAGGAAAATATAACTGAATGTAATCTCATTGGAATGATATAATAAAATTGAATATTATATTAGAAGATTGAATAAATAAGGTGTATAGTCAAATGAAGTTAGTTTTAAAATATTTGTTTTTCATTAATTAAATTTTGTATAGAGTAACACAACCTCCTTTGTATATTTTTAATATCAAAGAAATGACAATGCCTAGTTCCTTTAATATTTAAAAAATCTATTTTAGAATTTAATTCTTTTATGTAAATCAGATTATTTTCTTGATTTCTTTAGCTTCTAGTTCACTGTGTATAGGAGCACAACAGATTTTGGAGCTTGCCTCTACAATTCAGTGGTTCATTGTTTCCAATAATTTTAGTAGTGATGTCTTTAGGGTTTTCTATGTATATTACCATGTCATTGTCCTCTCGTTATAGCTTTACTTCTTTTAAATTCAGTTTATTTCTATATTTATCTTGTCTAATTGCTCTAGTTTGTACTTCCAATACTATGTTTAACAGTAGTGGTGACAGTGGGTGTTCTTGTCTTATGCCTGATCTTAGACAAAAACCTTTCGGCTTTTCACCATTGAGTATATGTTGTGTGGGTTTGTTAGACATAGACTTGATGTTGAGGCAATTTCCTTCAATCCCTGATTTATTGAGTTTTTATCATGAATGGATGTAAATGTTGCCTCTGCATCTATTGCAGTTATGATATGATTTTTAACTTTGATGTAGAATATTATATTGATAATTTTACATGTGTTGAACCTGCAATAAATCCCATTTGGTCATGATTTATGATCCTTCTAATGTAATAAGTGTCCAATGACAGATGAGCAGTGTGTATGTGTGTATTTTAGGAAATGATTGCTGATTATGTGTTAGGTTTTTGGAACCACTGATTTCATCTTATGTGTGTCGATCCCCTGTAATTTCTTAGACAGTTTCTTGTAAAATAATCAGTATTAAAATATATATATTTATGTAGAGATACATTTACATAGTCTAAAGTTTTCACTATATCAAAAAGTTTAAAATTCTTTTGAAACATCATTTCATGAAAATGAGCAGGCAAAGGGTAGCAGAGAGAGCAAAGTTGTGGAAATGAACATAAGACTGATACAGACATGCAAGTCTAGGATCTGCCTTTAAAAAAGTCTTTAGGGCATTTGTATGAGTATCAGGTCCTGATGCTTGGGGATCCCTGCTTCTCAGCAGTGATGAGGTGAAACAGAAACTGATGGAAACACAGAGGGAGCAACAGATCTGCTCAGCCAGGAATGGATTTGAGCATTTCTGGTTTTAGTGCTCACAGCATCCTGCTGAGTTGACAATAGGGTTCAAAAAATGAATTGCAGAGCCATCTGTTTAAAATAAGAAACGTACTTTGTACAGCATTAGTCCTAGAAATCACTTTGTAAATGTTGTTAGTATAGTTTTCCCCTGATGCATTATTGTTTGGGTTACAATTAGCACATCCAAAGAAAATAAATACTGAGAAATTTCTAATTTTTGGTAATTGTCAAGGGTTATTCATTTGAGACATGCATGTTAGGATTTCACAATGGACTTGTCATTGGGAATTATGATTCATCATCTACCCAGAATAATAAGCATAGAAAAGAAAGGGAGCCTTGACTATTTTAACTTGGACTCTGCTAGGCTTTTTATTCAGAAGTAAAAATTGTTCCAATTACTCAGGACTGTTGCAAGCTTCCAGGATTATTAAAATAGTTTTACAACAAGTGATATCAGTAGAAGAAAAATAAAATATAAAAACGATACTCCAATCCTCCATGAATTTTCTTTTATGTAATTTTCTATTTCTTTGCTCCATACATAGTTTAAATAGTCATAAGCCACAAGATGCTCTTAAAATCCTGCACACTCAGAGACTCAAAGGTCATTTCCATGTGTCTTTATTCTATGACACATATTTTTAGTTAATTGTAAAGGTCACCTTTGTTCCATAAACCTAAAGGTGGTATTCCTTAAATAAAGAAGAAAGCTATAAATAAATGGGAGATTTTTTCCCCCTAGCTTTAACGCAATCCTGCTTATATGTCATGCAGTTTTGATGCTATGTGTCAAGTCATAATCCAGGTCACTGTGCTATCATTCAGGTTAGCTGAACATTTCTTCAGCACAAAGCAAGTAAGCTGTACATGGCCTTTGTTCTAATAATAATAATAAAAAAAATCCTGCAGGAGAGATGAAGAGAATGCTCGGTTATGGTCTATGGGACAACAATCCATAATTTACTTGCAGATGTCTGTGTAATTTAAGCAGCAGGCAGAACAACCACACAGTTGTAGCTGCTCTGGGGAAAGGATACCAAGAGGCTCATAAATCATGGTAAGGATTAAAAGCAATGAGCATTCATCTTCTTAACCTCGTAAAGGCAATATTGGAAAGTCAAGGATTAGAACATATAGAGCATAGAGTCTCTGTGCAGGGATAAAAGGTGTCAGAATTTTTAAAGCTTCTCTCAATTAGCATTGACCTGCCACTTGCAAGTCAGCACAACATGATTTTAAAGTTGATTAAAAAAAAAATAAAAAGGCCCCTTCCACTTCAAAATAAAGCGAGTGATAGGACATACTTCTAGGGTATATTGAAAATAGAGTCGACTTACATGGAAATGCAAATCATTTTCTTAGATTGAAACATCAGGACAGTTGATGGAAAATAACCTTAAAATGCCCAATCCAAAAATATCTTCTGTTTAGCTAAATGTTTTCAAATAGTGAAATGTCATGAGAAAATCCTAACTTCAGAATAGTGAAATGGAGGAGATACAGACAGCTGGGGCTCTCCTATAACATTTAGTAAACAAATGGTCTGTTACTAATTGCTTATATTTGAAAAATTATTCTAATCAAAGGTCTTTGGATGCTACTAGTAAATCGTACACAATGAAGAGTTTCATTTTTTTGTCGTTGATGGAAAATTTAATCAAATTTTAAAGCTTTAAAAACATTGATTTTGTTATTTTCTTGGTGTCCTTTTAAATTTGGTTCATGATTAACTGAATTTGGCAATTTTATAAAAACACTAAGATAGAGCAGAAAATAATAAAATCACTTGTTCAAGGATCATTATGAGCCTATTAAGGAGACACAATGCAATCCGGTTTCATATTCCCTAGTTTGTTATCAGTCTTGGAGATGATTTTTTCAACTTTTTTTTTTAAATTGAGGTAATGTTGGTTTATATCTTTTTGTATTTTGGGGGTATAGGATACCCCCCTTCAGGTGTTGTTACCATAATATACCCATCAACAGTGTGCCCATAGTCCAGCCCCATACTCCTTTGTGTTTCTTC